CCACATGTTAAAACACTTCACTGCAAATAAACAAGTCTGAAAACTACTTTACTTTTTAAATTAAATGTAATGTAATGTCTGCTTAACATTTAATTCAAGAGCATCAGTTTTCAATACCACATACTAGTTTTTGGTTTCAGATTAAAGAATATATTTTTTGTAATCAATGGATTGTAATGTTGATTGATTTAGCTTTGCACACATTTGGAAAACATAATTCTATAAAGGCTGTACTGTGGTCATTACAAAATGTCTTAACGCAAATAAATTAAGTAGAACAAAAAGTTAGAAATCATCACATTTACATTTCCTCCAAACGGTCGAGATTATAAGTGTGTGTAAATGAGTGTAGTAGTAGTACTAGTGGTAGTAATAAATCTAGTTTGCTCTTTCTCTTTCATTCTTTTACACAAATTGCCTTATTTATATGATTTTATATGATATTGGTACACTTTGTTCTGCAAGTAAACTGTCATGTGATTTAACCCCTGTATCCATTTAATATTCTGCAACGGTTTGGACAAAGCATCGGAGACCCCCAGGAGTCACAGACCCAACTTTTGGAACCCGTGCAATAAATATCTGAAGTACGTGCCCGCGCGTGTGTGGGTGGCGCTGCAGTGATGGGACCGGAAGCACAGATGTGATAAGAGTCTGCGCTCCTGCAGAACTGTTTCTCTCCATGTCTCACTGTGCCTGAGCCACAGGGACACTGCTCCCATCACGGTGTAGACATGATCCTGCCTCCCGCTGCTCCCGCTGCTCTGCCTCCTGTCTCCGGGCTTTGGACCAGCGTCTGCGCAAGACACCAGTAAGAAAACCACACGACACCTGCTCCACTGGTTCATTTGTGACAGTTTGTGTTTGTTTGCGGGTCTGTGCTGTTTTCCGACACCTGCGTCACTGTGGATTAACCCAGTGATTTTGGACATCCGTGAAACTTATTTCACATCAGGATGTATTAGACTTGTACAAAGGCTATTTGTCGATGAAAGTGCATCTAGTGTCATTTCGTGACGTCATTATTTGTGTCTCATAACTTTAGCAGGGATTTGTAGGGATTTGTAGACTCGACTCCAGCAGAATATCAATTATTATGTGGATTGTAGTGACCTCTGGTGGTGAGAGCTTCCGTCGTTTTATGCAGGAGCGGTGCATAAAAAAACATTGATCTAACCTGAAGGAGCAAAAAACAAAAAAACAAAAAACAAAAAAAAAAAAAAAAAAAAACTAAAATGTTCCATCTATAGCCTATTGTTCAAAGTACTTGAATAGCCTTCTGCTTAAATGCTGTTCTTCTATCTGTATTAATAGGCCTCACTTCTTTTCTAGTTTCTTTTGTATCCTTCCTCTCTCCATGATATTTAGTCTTGTCTGTTTAAAAAGATTGTCTGTGCTGATACTTGTTGTGTTGTATGTTGTAGAGCCCAATAATATGGTGACTGTGTCAGAAGGGGATGATGCTCTTCTCCCTTGTGCTCTGAGCTCTGGACAGAACATTGAGCAGTTTGACTGGAGGAATGACAATGGAGAAGAGGAGAAGATGGAGGTGTTTATGTATGACAGAGGCTTATACTACGGCCACGGTATCCGAGGTCAAAGTGAACAGTTCGTGGGTCGTGTTGAGTTCTTTAAAGATGAACTCAAATCTGGAAATGCCTCCATAAAGATCAAAAACACACGTTTGGAGGACAGTGGCACATACACCTGTTGGATAATGAATCCTGTCAGATCTGTGGTTAACATTATCCTTCATGTGGGTGAGTATTTATTATTATTATTATTATTAAGACAGTCATTCAAATAAATTATGTGTCACAGCTTCTGTTTGGCTTCTTTGTGTTTGTTTGTTGTCTGTTATGTGGTGTGTGCNTGCTCTTCTCCCTTGTGCTCTGAGCTCTGGACAGAACATTGAGCAGTTTGACTGGAGGAAAAACAATGGAGAAGAAGGAGAAGAAGGAGGTGTTTAATGTATAACAGAGGGCTCAATACTACGGCCAGGGCCTCAAGGTCAAAGTGAACAGTTCGTGGGTCGTGTTGAGTTCTTTAAAGATGAACTCAAATCTGGAAATGCCTCCATAAAGATCAAAAAACACACGTTTGGAGGACAGTGGCACATACACCTGTTTCATAATGAATCCTGACACACCTGAGGTTAACATTATCCTTAATGTGGGTGAGTATTTATTATTATTATTATTATTATTAAGACAGTCATTCAAATAAATTATATTTCACAGCTTCTGTTTGGCTTCTTTGTGTTTGTTGTTGTCTCTGTTATGTGGTGTGTGCTGTTTTACTTTGTGTATGCATCAGTCTTCATTTCATTTGCCCCTCAGTATTTTTTTATTATTATTATTTTTTTGTCATTTAATATTAAAGAAAAGATCCCCAGACTAAAACCTGATCAGATCCAGGTTCATACCACATGCAACGTGACAGATAATGTTGAGTCAAATGTTCCTCTGAGGACCACACTGAGACTGTATAGTCAGGGACATGAAATACTTGTACTGCATTTGATTTATCTAACAATTATTAACACCTTTCTACATGTTTTTTTATTTCTGTTTTACAGTTGTTTTAAAGATTGGAGAGAACGTTCCTGGTGAGTAGCTCCTGATAAGTGTAAAAATATTAAATGTTTCTGTTCCACATAAAACAAAACTTCTTAAAAGTAGCTCATATTTCAACACCCTTGTTCACTGACAGGGTAAATTAAAATTCTAGACTCGTTATTTTGGCTTCAGTTGTAAAAAAAAACAAAAAACAAAAGTAATTTTCAAGATCCAACAAATGATCCATACCTCCACTTATAATGGGAGTAGATCAGACAGCAGAGGTCAAAACCACAGAGCTTCAGGTCCACAAATAGTCCAGCTGTTTGTACTTTAAAGGATTCAGAGACAGAATTGAAGGAAATTTTAGTCAAGGCTTTTTATTCTTTCCTCAGGAGCAGCTCAAGTGCCATACATCGAAACTGTTCATGATGAAGTTACTTGGCGACAGCTGAAGTGTAAAGCTGAAGGTGTCCCTGAACCTGAGGTGGAGTGGAGAAACAGTGATGGGGACGTTCTGGCAAATCATGTTCCACAGAATCAAAATGGACGCTCTCATGTTGAACTTCAATTGAATGTGACCAGGAGTGACAACTACACCTGTGTGGTCACTCAGAGCAGAGCATCTACCATCAGATCAATAATACAATGAAAGTGCACATTCCAGGTGAGAATAAGAGGTTGTTGATCAAAAGCTACAGAGAACAATGCTTACATTTTTATGAGCAAACAAGATCAGATGTCCAGGCCTTTGTGTGTGGAGTTTGCATGTTCTCCCTGTGACTGGATGTGTTTCCTTCATACACTCTGGTTTCCCCCATCAAACCACAACATGCACCATAGGCACAATCCTGCAGCTGAAGTAGTCCTGACCAAGACTAGCAACAAGATCATGGAGATGAGTCCCTGTGTACCGTATGTGCTGTGTTTAGGAAAAAATATTGTAGGTTTAAAAATACAGAAAGTATTGTCATCTCAGTATCAGAATACAATCTTACTGCTGCTAAATAAAAAAGGCCATGTTATTGGGGAATATTTTATGAGTATGGCTTTTCAATTATTCAACCCAAGTTCGATATTTGTCCAACAATCCAGTCCTTTTGCAAGTGTTTTGACTTTAGAGAGCAGGATCCCATGGTCACAGGTGTGGAAGTATAGCCCACATTCCATCCTTGTGTGCACTTGCATTTCATTGCTGTGAGGCACAACCAATGGCACTATTTCTTCTACTATAAGCCTCCATAAAGATACTGAAGACACAGATGTCTGATAGAGGACTATACAGCTGTCATTATTCACATATCCAAAAATCCCACATTATTCTCACGGTAGTAGGTATGCCACTATTTTGTATTTGCACAAAAAACACTAAAACATCAAAACCTAGTTTGCTGGTTTAATTTAAAATAAAATCTGACATTAAAAGCAATGAATGTAAGATACAGTAATGGCTAAGATGTGATGGTGGTGTAAAGAGATGATGCAGTTCTGCCCTGTTCTCTGGACTCCAAAAAGAACATTGAGAGCAAAGTGTTTTTATGGTGGACAGATCATAAGGAGGTGTTTCTCTGTGACAGCGGCACGGTGGAGGAAGACAGACAATGTGAAAGGAGACTGAAACATTTTCAACATGAGGTCAAATCTGGAAATGCCTCTTACTATTCACGACAACAAAGACATCAGACAGTGGACGTTATAGTTGTTATTTTGCTGATGTCCACCAATCCAATATTATTCTTCATGTAGTAGAATGTCTCCTCACAATTTTTTATTTCTTTAAGATATTACAAATTAAACAGTTACTGCAAATGTACTACAGTCTGCTATCACAATAGCAGACTTCACAAAACAATAATTAATAATTGATGATTTTGGTTTGGGAGCTTGGGTTCTTTCACTAGGAGACCACATGATAACTTAAACCCACTGGTTCTTAGACTTGCCATAGAGGAGGGAAAGATGGGTTGAGAGAATATACTTCCTTATCCTTTGATTGTCTAACTTTCTATTGGTTAAATCAATTATCTTAAGCCTGTGAGATGACTGTTGTCATGACTTTGGGCTTTACAAAATAAACTGACTTGTATTAAGTGAACCTCCTGGTTTAAATCAGTTAGCTATCGGGCATCGGGGAGCAGAAAAAAAATGACAAGGATGTTGATTTAGTTGTGACGTAGTCCTGCTCCTGAACTTCATTTAGTAAACGATTAGTAAGAAACCCTGAATCTGTCAATATATTATCAATATGATTCAACACTGTCAGAGGGGAAATGTGCTGATACATTGGGATAGATACATGTATGAAGTGTCATGGTTTGTGTTTTAAGAAAATTGAACAGTGTTAAGTATGTTGCAATGTTAATTACTCACTGTGAAGCAAAGAAATGCTTTGTTTTTAGGACAGTGTATGACTCAATCTTCTGATTTTTCTTTCATTTTCAGATTCCTCGCCTCTCGTGCCTATTGTACTTACTGCTGTTGTTACTGTTGCAGTCGTTGGAGTGTTGTTAGCAGTGCTCCATTTCAGAGGCATTCTGGTTCTGAGTTGCCCTGGTAAAGGTTAGTTCACTTCTTATTTAAATTTAAAGGTGACATTAACGTTTATTAACATTTATTAGCTTTTAGATAGACAGATTCATAGATAAATAAATCCTCAAATTCAAATTGAAGAAGCAGCAGCAATAATGAATCAAACATACAAACATTTTTATTGATTCATGCATGTTTGTCATTGTATTGTCCTGCATTTGGGGCTTGAGTACTCAGAAATGTTTTGTTTTCACCTGCCTCCTGTTTCCACCAACAGCTGTGCTATATCATATCAAACAAATAAATACATGAATATAAAAAATTGATGTTTTTCTAGGTGGCAAAGTAAAACTGGGGTGAATCACCCAAGAGAAGTCAGTCAGCTCTGCTTTCAGTTCTTCCAGATTAACAAGAAACAAAAAAATACTTTATGACCTGGTCCCGAAGGGTTGACCGGGTTTTGTATTCACCCTGTGTGTCTGTGTGTCTGTCCACCTGCAATAATTCCGACATTTATTGACCGAATGTCACCAAATTTGGAACGTGGGTCAAGCCCCCGTGCCTGACGCCGCGAAAAAAAAAAAGTCACACGGGTCAATTTAACGGTCACACCATTATTATAAAGGATAAGCAATTTCAGGCAATTTCTGAACCTTCTGCAGGCTAAAATATTCACCCAGTCATCACACAAGCCCCCACCAATGGCTCATGGGGGATCAAGTTGCCATCTCTGATTGCGCTTGTTGTTATCTACAAACAGCACACAGTCTCCTTTTGTTACGAAATGCAGCATTTACAATATACTCTTTGGAATAAAATAAAATGTACTCAATTACACAAGAACGTGGGTACCCAAGGTTTAAAGAAAAAATATATATATTATAATAAATATGCTTTTTTCTGAGTATGAAACTAAAAACATTTTGTTAATTGTAAAATATTAGTAGAATTCCATTTGTAGATGAGCAAATTGAAAGCATAGTTTACAACATTATTTTTAACTGCACATACAACATACAACATATGTGTTGTAGAGTAATTCCAGGTTAGATAGATAGTTGGGTCCAGAAGAACAGGGACTATTTAACCCTGTTCATTAACAAAATCTTAATCTTAACGTTTTCCTAATCCTGACCTTAACCATAACCTGATGTATAATAACCCTGTTCCTCATTCCTTTCATTGATCACTTGTAGCAGATGTCCTTCTGGACCTGACTATTTAGCACCAAATTACAAACAAACAACACATGTTTCTGGATTAGTATGTGCAGAGATTGTTTTTATGCCTGCTAATGGCTGTGTGCCAATTTTGAACCCAACAAGCTTGAACCAAAGTCTGTATTAAAAAAAAATAATTAATTAAAAGAACAATGGGCTGAGATAGGGGGTAGGTGAAAATGGCAATTTTCTGAGCATTCAAGTCTTGGATGCAGAACAAAGGTAAAAAGTATCTGCTGCTTGCTATGGTAAAATGCCACTGTAAAGTGGTGGGGCTTCTCATCTCTGTAGTTTTGAACAGGAAGTCCATTCTGTTACAAATCTGTTTAGATCAATATTGCATCATTTAGAAAAATAAACATAATTATTTCTTTAAATGTGAATAGCAAAAACAAATAGTATGTTACCGTCAGCAGAATTATTCAATGTACACCTTTAAATTTTTAAATGATGTGATTTGCATAATTATACAATTTCCTTTTGTTCCAGGTAAACGAATATATGAAAACCCCAATTCTTGACTTTGGTTTTATTTTGATATGCAAAGTGTAATTATGTATGGCACTGCTAATTTTTACATGGAGCAACAAATGCTGAAATAAACCACGAAACTAAAACTTACACCAGATTCTTCAATTACTTTATGTTGTAGATCTTTTACATGATTGTCCATTTATAAATGTATTGTTTGGCTGAAATAATTTAAAACTATTTGTAACTTGGCCGTTGAAAATATCTGTTTATAATTATTGTTCTGATGTTCTTGGCATGTGTTAATGGTTGTGGATGTTTTCAAATGAATGATGTATATCTTTAGCAAATGTGATAAATAACCACTTTTTTAACTGTAGAAAATGTCTTATATGATGATGACAGGTGATTAAATTTTAATTCTAAAATAAATAAATAAATGTTTAGTAATGCTAGTTATCAATTGTGTGACAAACAAAAGGATTAAGTGACAAACCAATATTGATTATTTCTTTATAAGAGATTCAGGGTCCTTTATACACACAGTAGACCCAAATAAAGGACAAGGGACTGACTACAAAATATAAGATCATTCTTTATAGTCTCCTGTGGGCAGTGTTGGAGAGTAACAGATTACATGTACCAGAGTTACGTAATCAGAGTACAAATTATGAGTAACTGTATTCAGTTACAGTTACTGTTTCAGTGAGTGGTAATTGGATTACAGTTATTTTGTTAAAATAAATGGATTACACAGCGGTATTTTCCTGTTTTCACATTTTGGGCTATATTCCCCCCTTTTTTTTTCTTTTGGTAATTCCACTCATTGCCGGAAACCAGGTCTAAACTAGATCTAAACCAGAACTAACACAAGGTCTAAACCAGGTCTAAACCAGGACTAAACCAGGTCTAAACTAGATCTAAACTAGATCTAAACCAGGTCTAAACTAGATCTAAACCAGGTCTAAACCAGATCTAAACCAGGACTAACACAAGGTCTAAACCAGGACTAAACCAAGACTAAAACCAGGTCTAAACCAGGACTAAACCAGGTCTAAACTAGATCTAAACCAGGACTAAACCAGGTCTAAACTAGATCTAAACCAGGACTAAAACCAGGTCTAAACTAGATCTAAACCAGGTCTAAACCAGGTCTAAAACCAGGACTAAACCAGGTCTAAACTAGATCTAAACCAGGACTAAACCAGGTCTAAACTAGATCTAAACCAGGACTAAAACCAGGTCTAAACTAGATCTAAACCAGGTCTAAACCAGGTCTAAACCAGGACTAAACCAGGTCTAAACTAGATCTAAACCAGGACTAAACTAGATCAAAACCAGAACTAGATCTAAACCAGGACTAAAACCAGGTCTAAACTAGATCTAAACCAGGACTAACCAAGGTCTAAACCAGGTCTAAACCAGGTCTAAACTAGATCTAAACCAGGACTAAACTAGATCAAAACCAGAACTAGATCTAAACCAGGACTAAAACCAGGTCTAAACCAGGTCTAAACCAGGTCTAAAACCAGGTCTAAACCAGGTCTAAACCAGGACTAAACCAGGACTAAACTAGATCTAAACCAAGACTAAAACCAGGTCTAAACCAGGACTAAACTAGATCTAAACCAGGACTAAAACCAGGTCTAAACCAGAACTAAACTAGATCTAAACCAGGTCTAAACCAGGACTAAACCAGGACTAAACCAGGACTAAACTAGATCTAAACCAAGACTAAAACCAGGTCTAAACCAGAACTAAAACCAGGTCTAAACCAGGTCTAAACCTGAACTAAACTAGATCTAAACCAGGTCTAAACCAGGTCTAAATCAGGACTAAAACCAGGTCTAAACTAGATCTAAACCAGGTCTAAACCAAGACTAAAACCAGGTCTAAACCAAGTCTAAACCAGAACTAAAACCAGGTCTAAACCAGGACTAAACCAGGACTAAAAGAGGATTTAACAGCTTTTTATTTTCTTTTAGCAAACAAAATATCTTATGTTACGATATCCTAGTCTTTGCTTCTCTACAGCAAATCAAGTAATCCAAAGTATTCAGATTACATTACTCATCTAAAGTAATTTAATGGATTCCGTTACAAACTACATTTTGGAGTATGTAATCTGTAATCTGTAGGGGAATACATTTTAAAAGTCACCTTCCCAACACTGCCTGTGGGACAGAATTGTCTTGGAACAGGGGTCACATGATTTAACACAAAAAAAAAGACATCAACAACATAAGCCCAAACAAACAAAATCCACCACTGAACACGTGGCGGCACGGTGACTGAGTGACTAGCATTCATGCCTCACAGCAAGAAGGTTCCGGGTTGCGGGTTGCCCGGGTCTTTCTGTGTGGACTTTGCATGTTTCTCCCCGTGTCTGAATGGGTTTCCTCAGGAGCTTTGATTTCCCCTCATCAACCCAAAACATGCTACATAGGTCTCTGGAAAGAAGAGCTGAGAGTTGAGAGCTTAGGTCAATTAAATACAATGAATCAATGAACCTGCTCAGGGACGACAGGTAGAAATTAACACTGGTGCTACAACCTGGTACAATGCATCTCTCCTGTTAAGGTTAATGTAAATTGTGCACTGTCCCTGTCTCATTATCTAACTAAACTAAACTAAACTAAACATAAATAACACCATCTTGTCGGGGTCGCCCCTTGTCCTCCCATTGACTTCCATTCATTTTAGTAGTGATAAATATGGCCTTCAGCATGAGTTACTGGAATACTGCTGTTCATGCAGGGGGCGACTGAGAGGACTAAGCTGATATGACCATACATGAGTGAAATGAATTAAATAAAATGAAATGAGTTAAATAAAGAGCTGCACTAAACCTGCACACATATGATCGGCACATGGGCTCGGTCAAGCAGAAGTAAACAGCAAGGCCAAAAATTCAAGTTAATGCATCTGATATAAAAATGTATTCAACAGATACATATGTACTCTAGTTTATGAAACTGTTTACCTTTTTTCTGTACCAGTTTTGGTTCTAAAGTTACATACGTTTTAAACAGATCATGTATGAAACATGGAACAAAAATTATTTCACAAATTTTAAAGACCTGCAAATCATGCAAATAAATTGATGTATTTCATCATATCTTGTGTTATTCGATCTTTGAACTGTTGATGAAGGTACATGATTTAAAAAAATATATATTTAAAGTGATAAAAATTTGCTTGGAAGGACTGACATATTTTATATAAATAGTTTCCTTTCATTTTGAAGTAATATTAAAGTATTCAGAAGAAAAAACCAACAAATTATGCAAATCAATCACCTTCTACTTGCTTGCACAATTTTCCCTCCGTTACCATGACCTTTCTTAATAAAAAATCTCATTACTCCAAAAGTAAGAGGTTTTTCAACCTAATCTTGTACCATGTGTAGAAAACTATATGAAGCAAATATTCAAACCAGTTTGTTAAGGATATGTAAGTGAGAACCGCTAGTTATCACTGTTTGTATTTATTGCCCAAAAAGTGCTGCATATTTCATTCCCTCCATTACCACTTGACTGGACCCACATATATGATCTCTGGAAAGAAAACATGAACCCTCTCTAACGCAATACAGAACAGACTCATCAGCAGCAGCACATCCCTCTGTCACAGAAAATACTCATATATTCCACTGAGTCATGTCCTTTAGTCGGACAGAAGCTGACCACATCAGTGGCACAAGGAGCTAGCTGTTTTGATCAGAAGCTACAGAGAACAATGTTTACATTTTTATGAGCAAACAAGGCAAGTCACCCAGGCCTTTGTGTGGAGTTTGCATGTTCTCCCTGTGACTGTGTGTCTTTCCTTTGGGATCTCTGGTTTCCCTCCTCAACCCAAAACATGCACCATAGGCACAATCCTGCAGTTAAAATAGTCCTGACCAAGACTAGCAACAAGATGATGCAGATGAGTCCCTGTGTACTGTACGTGCTGTGTTATAATAGACAGAAAACAGTCTATAAAACTTCTTACCTCAAACAATAATGTCATCTCAGTTACAATCGTACTTCTGCTATATCAGACATATATATACTGACTGTATATATATATATATATATATATATTTTTTTTTTTATACAGTCTATGTCATTAATAGATTGTGTAAAAATGCTTTGTTTATCAGCACTAGTCCATGACTTCATGTTCCAAACCTTTTCTCAAAGTGAAACAGCACACATATTTCCCAGTGATGTTTGGAAATTCTATCTTGGTTGTACATCATTCCACTGTCAATGTGGTGCATTCTTGTCAAGTTAATATAATGTTGTGCTGCTCTGTTGGGAGGGGCCATGCACATAGGCACTGGAGATGCTGCTATGCTTAGTGGAGCAAAAAATTACCAATATTTTAATAGAACATATAATTCAAATGTTTTAGTAGAAAATCAGCCGAGGGCCAAATTAAAGTTCTTGGAGGGCTGGTTCTGGCCCCTGGCGATATGTTTGACACCCCTGCTCTAAAACCTTCAAATCAGGCAAGAAATCTAGGGGTAATAATGTACTCAGACTTGAACAAATCAATAACATCTGCAGCTTTTTACCATCTAAAAAACATAACAAAAATCAAAGGTTTACTGTCTAAGTCAGACTTGGAGAAAGTTATCCATTCCTTTGTCTCCAGTAGGTTAGACTACTGTAATGTTCTGCTCAGTGTCCTCTCCAAACGAGCTGTGAGACACTGCAGTAGATTCAGGACGCTGCAGCTCGGGTCCTTACTCGAACTAGGACGTATGAGCACATGCGTCCTGTGCTCAGGTCTCTGGATCCTGTGGCTCAGAGAATAGACTTGAGGCTTGAGTACAAGTCTCTCCATGGCCGAGCACCAAAGTTCATATGGCACACAGTGTCATATGAACCATCTCGTACTCTGAGGAGCTCAGGGACCGGCCTCCTGCTGGTGCCCAGAGTCAGGACTAAACACAGGGAGTCAACGTTTCAGGTTCACGCAGCTAAAACCTGGAACAGTCTTCCTGAACATGTGAGACAGACCTCTGTTTCTGATGCTGTTTAAATCCAGGCTCAGAACAGTTCTGTTTAGCTGCACATGACTGAAAGGTTTTCATTCTGCACTCTTCTCTCTAATTTTTGTAATTAATGTCTCTCTCTTTTTTTTATTTTAATCTTTAATTT